CGGGTCGGGCCGCAGGGCTGACAGCCTGGCCGCCAGAGGCTACCAGCGGACCCAGAAGCAGGTCTGCTGTAAAATCAAGGACTTGCGGCAGTCCTACTCCCGGGCCTGCCTGCCAGGGGCCGACCCGGAGGCCTGCCCCCACTTTCAGGCCCTGGACCACATCCTGGAGGCTCACGCCATCCATGCCCCCTGGGTGGTCATCGACCCTGGGGCAGAGAGACCCGTCCTGGACACCGAGGAGGAGGAGCCGGAGGATGCCGAGAGCCAGGAGCCTGCCCAGGACCCACAAGGAACCCCACAGACCACATCGCCTGTGTTGTCCGAGGCGGGGAGGGCTCCACATGTGACTACCATCATGCTCCCCTTATGTGTAAGGGGGGGTGGGGAGAGAAAGAGCCCAGGGACCGTGCGCCTGGGCCTTGCCCACCATGGAGCAGCAGCTGGGTGTCATGCTGGGGCCTTGGCCTTGCAGAGGGGGGCTGGGTTTCACCCACCTTGTCCCCAGGGAGAACTGACCGATGATGATGCAGGCCCTGGTCAGCCTCGCATTGAAGGCCTGGCGAGAGGGGTTGAGGTGCCCCGTGTAGGGCTTCATGAGCCAGGGCTGTAGGGGGTAGGCTGCATCCCCCACCAGGCACACGGGCATGTCCACGTCCCCAACCCTGATGTGGTGGTCAGGGAAGAAGGTCCTGGCCTGCAGACTCTGGCACACGAAGGAGTTCCGGTACACCCATGCGTCATGTGCCTTGCCGGACCAGCCCACATTAATGTCCGTGAACTGGCCCCGGTGGTCACACACGGCCTGCAGGAGGACGGAGAAGTACCCCTTGGAGTTCACATACTGGGAGGCCTGGTGTTCCGGGGCACGGATGGGGATGTGCATCCCGTCGATGGCCCCCCCCGCAGTTGGGGAAGCCGAGGGCGCTGAACCCCCGGATGATTGCGTCCGGGTCGGCGAGGCGGACCACCCTGTGGAGCAGCACCCGGTTGATGGCCTTGACCACCTGCGGAGAGACACAGCAAAGTGCGAATCAGTGGGGCGCCCGGGTGGCTGGGAGTGTTCGTGCCCTGGCACTGCCCCACGTCCCACTCCCAGAAGCAAACCCCCCTGAGTGGCGTGTAGTACAGCCAGGAGAGACCGGCCCCTCCGGTGCGGGGCACTTTGGCCTCCTTCCCCTCCTCCCCCCATTTTCCCTGGGGCGGCCCATCCCCTCCTTGCAGCCCCGCTCCCCCCCGGCCCAGTGGCCGGCGAGTGCCATACCTGCATGAGCACCGCTCCGACGGTGGATCTCCCCACGCCAAACTGGTTCCCGACGGATCGGTAGCTGTCCGGCATGGAGAGCTTCCAGAGGGCGATGGCCACATGCTTCTGGAGGGGGATTGTGGGCCTCATGCGAGTGTCCCTTCTGCGCAGAGCAGGGGCGAGCCACTCGCAGAGCTCCAGGAAGGTGTCCCTCTTCATCCTGAAGTTCTGGGTTCACTGTTGGTCTTCCCAGCGCTCCAGGACGATGCAGTCCCACCAGTCGCTGCTGGTGTCCAGACGCTAGATGCAGCAGAGCACGCCGGTGCCCGGGCGCTGCCGCAGCTGTTCCATGGACCCCAGGGTGGCCAGGCGGAGAGGCAGGGGGTTGACGTGCACCAGGTGGTGCCAGGCAGCCTCCAGCCATTGCTGGCAGGGTTGCAGCAGCAAGTCCAAAAACTGCACCAGAAAGCCCAGGGCAAGCTCTGGCTCCATGTTGCCAACTGCGGCGGCGGCCCCAAAGGGAAACACTGACAGACAGACAGACAGACAGACACAGAGAAAAACACTCTGCTGTCCCTCGGCGAGGGAGGCAAGCAAGCCGAAAAGCTGAGAACCAGCTGTCCAGGGGGGTCCCTTTAAGCACGAGCCTCAGATAGCCTCAGACAGCAGCCACACAAAGCAACTACTGACCTGATGCCCTGCCAGAACCGGTTTCAGCTAGCCCTCGGCTAGCCTGAGACAGCATCTCCACGCTCTAAGTCCTCCTCTGATGCCCTGCCGGCACTGCTTCCGGCCATCCTTAAGCCTGGTTCAGCGTCCACTTAATGTGGACATGCTAGTTCGAAGTAGCAAAACGCTAATTCGAACTAATTTTTAAGTCTAGATGCGCTAATTCGAATTAGCTTAGTTTGAATTAACTAATTTGAACTAAGTTAATTCGAATTAGCGCTGTAGTGTAGACATACCCTTTGTGTGAGACATTGTCCACATTGTATGTAACTGAGCTCAGAGCATTTCCCATAGAGCTAGCTATATGTGTGTGTGTGTGTGTGTGTGTGTGTGTGACTGACTATATGTTTGGTTTGGTTCTTTTTGTTGTTGTTGTTTTACAAATCATGAATAACATAATGCCAGGGGGCTGCACCCCCTGTTTGTTATTCTCGCCAAACCCCCCTCTTTGGGGGTAGGCAGCACTAGCTGTCCCCCTGGCTGCCAGGGAAAGCCAAGCTGAGGTGTGCTGCAGCTGCTGTTCTCTCCCTCCAGCCAACAGGGGGTTGGGTGGGGCCAAGGCTGTGGTGGGGCCGGCTCTCTCCCTCTGGCCACGAGGGGGGAGGGCGTGTGGCCGACCCAGCCCTTTCCTTCAGGATGCACAGGGTGGGTGTGTGCACCCCCCCCCCCCCACGCAAAGGGGGAGACATTTGGCTCACGGCCCCTCCTCTCCTTCCCGACCACGCCAAACTCTGCACTCTTCCCCCCCTGGTGAGCTCTCCCCAGGCCCAGGTCCCCACCTTCCCCAGGCCCAGGCCCCCACCGCTGCTGAGAGGGAGAGGGGCAGGGCCCAGGACAGAGGACTACAATTTAAAATTCTGGCAGCCACCCACCACGTCACAATCACAAGCTACAGAGGTTCATAAACAGATGCCTGAGGTACATCCTTCACGTCAAATGGCAAGACTTTGTCACAAATGAGGAGCTTTGGAACAGAGCAGGACAAGAACCACTTGATGTTCAAATCAAGAGAAGAAAGTGGGGATGGCTGGGCCACACTCTCAGAAAACCATCCTCCAGCATAGTCCATCAAACTCTCACATGGAACCCGCAAGGAAAACACAGACGAGGAAGACTCCGGACAAAGAGGAGAAGATCTGAGATTGAAGGATAACAACTGGGGTACTCCTGGAGTCAGCTAGAAATTTTGTCTCGAGACAGAGTGAAGTGAAGGACACTTGTAGATGACTATGCTCCACTCGGAGTATAAGGGTTTAAGACGACAACCCATCACGTGGTGGATGACTGCTGGAGTTTTAAATTGCGTTGCCACTGGGCCGGTGGTGAGGCCCATGCTGGTGGAAGTGTCCCCCAGTCCCGGCTCCCCCCTGCAGTGGGCCTCTCCAGTGGCTCCCCCTTCCCTCCTCCTGCCATGGACCTCGCCAATGGAGCTTTTTCACTCCCCTTGCAGCAGGCCTATCCACCAGCCCCCAACCCTCCCTACACCAGAGCACTTTTTCTTCCACCCCCCTCAAGGCACCAGCAGCAGCTTACCGTTAGTGCTGCTGTCATTCGTGAGCCATAGGTTGCCTACCCTGCCGGGTTAGAAGGGGGAAGGAGGCAGGGTGACTGAGGGGAGAGGAGCTGTGGGACGCAGAGTGACATGATTACATCACTCTGTATGTCCCATAGGAAAAGTTTTCTTTATATATATAGAGAGAGAGAGAGAGAGAATATCTAGTTTTGCTACAAGACTTACCTAAACAAGTTGGCTGAGTTGTCCATTTTCCTTGTACACAATGAACAGTTTCAGGACCCTCCATTATGTGGTACCGTTGGCATTTGTATTTCACTGAGGAACCTGTTGGGTAGCTTGTCAATAACGGTCCAAAAGTAGCACCATTTTTAATTGGAGGTGGAGAGGGGCATGTTTCCCTTATTTCTAAGAAAGGAAACAAATCTGTAATCTGTGTTTGTACACAGCAATTCTCTCAAATGATAGGATGGGAATCAGCATAAGCAGTTTTCTGAGAAGGAAGTTAAAACTACACAGTATATATAAATCGTGTTAAACAAAATTGTAATCTTTTCCAACAATTTAGCGGCTCTTTTTAAAAAGCAAAAGGTTACAAAAAGGAAGGAAAGTACCAAGACAGGTCTATGCCTTACTGAGTCACCCTGCAAACTCATTACCATACTTATCCTCCCTGTACTATCCATGCCCCATCCAAATCCCTTTATCCATCACTCTTTCTTCTTGGGGGAAGCTGACTGTAGATTTGTATGTTTACCTGGGATGGGAGTGTCTTTTTTTTTTCTGAGGTGCTTAGCATATTTCTGGCGGCTTGAAAAAACATGAGGCTAAGAGCATAAGCAGGGAAAACAGCAAAATAAAGACAAAACTTTAGCAGCCAGAAAATTGGCAGATGAGATCATGTGGGAAGCAAATATAAGGGAAAACAGTCCAGAAGAGCTGGCAGTTTTTAATAGACATTATTAAGGGCACGAGAGCAAAAGAAAGGCAGGAAGTATACTAAGAAACCACCCTGGCTTAACTAGGAGATAACCAATGACTTAAAACTCAAAAGAAACATAAGAAGTGGAAACTATGGTCAATCTATGAAGTATAGATACAAAAAAAACTGACAAGGATGTAGGGACAAAATTAAAAAGGTGAAGACACAAAGTGAGATTCAAATAGCAAAAGAGTAAAAAGCAATTCACAAATACGTAAGAACGAAGAGGAAGACCAAGGATAAGGCAGGCCCATAGTCCAGAAGGGAAAGATAAAACACAGATACCCAGCTGCAAGTGTTATTTTTCAAGATGTGGCACAGCCATATTTTCAATTCGGTACGTGCACCGCCAGCACACTGGAGCCAAAAAATGTTTTCCTAGTAGCACCCACTGGGGCAGAGTTCATGCCCGGCAGCCCTAGCTCTGTCCCGTGCAGCTCCAGCCTGATCAGTGTTCCCTTTAAGTTGAGTGCTTGGGCAGCCACCCAGGAGAGATTCATATACCATCCAGCTGATTAGCAGAGCGCCCACGGCAAGTAGCAGGTGTTTCTACTGGTGGTGCACATCCACACAGGCTTCTGTATGCATAACAGAATGGATTCTGCACACGGATGGAACAAATTAGAGGAAACTGAGCCTGATCCCTTCAATTCCTTTGCGCTGAAGATCAGAGATACAGACGCCGATGGAGGGGGGCTGGAGGGAGCGTTGTGGAAAACATATGATGCAGATATGTTTAGAAAAGAGAAGACTGAGCGGGCACCTAATAACAGTCTTCAAATGTGTAAAACATTGTTATAAAGATGAGGAGGATGAACTGTTCTCCTTAACTACTGTGGACAGTTCAGGTACTAACGGTCTTAAATTGCAGTAAGGTATTTAGGTTAGACATTAGGAAAAACAACTTCCCAATTGTAAGGGAAGTCAAGCAATAGAACAAATTTCCCACTGAAATTGTTGAATCTCCATCAGCACTTGAGGTTTAGATATCACTTAGTGCAGGGGATGGGACAAGATGATCTACTGACGTCCCTACCAGTCCTACATTTCTATGAGTTTATGAAATCATAAACCATTCAGCAACAAAACAAAGACATCCCCCCCAAAAAACAACTAACGAAGCCTCAGAGTCGGAGCATCAAAGACAAGAAAGCAGTTATAAAATGTTTGAATACAATCTCCTGTGCCAACTCAGATAATTAAGTGCAATATAACTGCAAATGCAGAAGTATACAACTTATAGTGACTAATGACAAGTAATAATGACTTAATCTAGCCAGTCAGGTTGTTCTGTCATCAACAATCTCTAGTATGGGAGCAGTTCCCTAGGAGGAGTTATAACACTGAAAACAGAATACTTACCAATACATTTAGGAAGTGATGTCCATTTTCCCATTATACAAGTTATTTCGTTTGATCCATTTGTACTGTAGCCATGATTACATCTGTATCTAACAGTCTCCCCTGTGTAATATACCTTGTCCTCAGTTATTGCTGTACCCTTCTCAATAGGAGGTGGCTGATCACATGGTCTTTTTTCTTTGGCTTCTAAAACCACAGGAAAAGAAATTGGAAACGCCACTCTCATAATACTCATATTTACAAACTCTTTCGTCCCCAGTTGATGTCACACCCAAATGCCCAAGAAAAAAAGGATTGGCCTTATAAAGTTCCCAAGTGGCTAATAAATCAGGGATCTGTGGACCGGCTGGGACCAGTAGGGATCATAAAATTTGGATTCAGATTTATATCTATCTTCAGATCCTGGTTCTTCCTCACCCTTTCCCAAAATGAACAATACCTTTCTTACATAACACTTTGCATGCATAGGTATCAAAGGAGGTAAACATCACCCCAGTTTTAAAGATGGGTAAATTGAAACACAGGCATAAAGATTAAGACATTTTTTGAACTGGAGTTTTACTTCAGCTCCAAGCATGTGTAGAGTAACTACTAACCAATGCAACTTGGGGGTGAAGTCCATTTTCCATTCTCACACCGGATTTCGTCTGATCCTCTCATTGCAAAATTAAGCTGACAAGCCAAATGTACTTTGTCTCCACTATAGTATGTTCTTAAATCTGTGAGTATATTAACATTGGGAGGCTGAGGTGGAGGAGGGCATTTATTTCTTCTATCTAGAAAGAAAACACATATTTGGACATGTAGTGGAGGCTTTTTTAGATCATCAGGTTCACACATGCAGGCACACCCATGCCAGAGAAACAAATGTGAAGAAACCAGTAACTAGGGGTCACCAAATGAAATTAATAGGTACAGGTTTAAAACAAACAAAAGGAATTTTTTCTTCACACAGTGCATGATTGACCTGTGGAACTCCTTGCCAGAGGAGACTATGGAGACCAGGACTTTAACGGGATTCAAGAAAGAACTAGATACATTCATGGAGGTTAGGTCCATGAATGGCTATTAGCCAAGATGGGTAGGAACAAGTCCCTAGCCTCGGAGGCTGGGCATGGGTGACAGGAGAGGGATCACTGGATGAGTACCTGTTCTCTTCACTCCCTCTGGGGCATCTGGCATTGGGCTCTGTTGGAAGACAGGTTACTGGGCTAGATGGACCTTTGGTCTGACCCAATATCACTGTTCTTATGTTCACATTGCTACTATTATCTATTGGCCAAGCACTGACACATTAATTCTCACTTTTGTACTACTCACATTTGTACTACAGATGGCACAGGTAACAATTCTTATAATAAAGATTGCCTAACAATTTCTGTTGGAACACACTGTTTTTAATTGCCAAAAAAATTGGCCAAATTTTAACTGTTGAGGGTGAAATTTCCCATTTCGGCTGTCTACCTGAGACTAACTTTTCTTGTTGTGGCTGTTAAATGATTCAGGTAAATAGTGCAGATGCTTTCCAAACAAGACCAGGGGAAAATATGTTGTTTTGACCATTATCAAATTTTATTTTTTTATAATTCTTGCATAAATAAGCTCGAGCCTCCACTTTTTGGAAAAAGAACTGAATATTTGGCTATGGAAACAAGGAGGTAAAGTATAGGTTGAACCTCTCTAGTCTTGTATTTTCTGGTCTGGTAACACCTGTGGTCCGGCATGATTTTAGTTAGCCACCTGTCTACTTATAGGTATGACCAAGTCTCCTACAGTCCCATAAAGTTTGTGTACAGCCATCAGTCCTGTATCTCAGTGTATTTTTCTGTTATTTAACTCTAATTTACCCACAAATGTCTTCTAAGAGCTCAGGAAGCAATGGAAGTGTTGGTAGTGCTGCTAGACAATATTGACCCTCCTGCCCCATGGTTCGGCAATATCTGAGGGTGCCAGGTTAGAGAGGTTCAACCTGCAATGGAATTTCTGCCATCTCCCTGAATATGTGTCCTAGTCTCTGAAACCTGCACCTAATACACGGTAAGTAGAAGTTAGTTAGAATTAGGCAGCTAAATTTTCTGAAGATTATATCTGCACTGAGCAGGCTCCATCTTCTCGCTTATCTTATGCATGTTACTTTCCCACACAGGAACTAAGCATGCACCATCTTGGGATTGAGGGGCAGAGCAGGACTTTCCTTGAAATTGTTGCACCCAGCTGCTGCATGACACTTAGGCTTTCAAAAACTAAGAGGAGGAAGAGAGTCTTTCTGAGCTGTCCAGGCTCCTTCTCCTGGCACCCAGGCAGTGTGGAGAAAGCAGAAAAGTAGTCTGACTTAAATGCAGAGGGATAAAGAACAAGGATGGGGAGCTAAGGGGCAAAGGTAAGGAGGCACATACAGAGATGGGGCTGGGAGGCAAAAGTAGAATAGTAAGTGGTAATGTAATTAAAGACTATCAATGCATATGCACAAGGGGGTTGAATTAAGTCAGCACAGGTAGGGTTAAGTCTGACATTTCCTAACTATTGAGGATTTGACTTTCCTTAATATTATTTTAATGCATATTTAAAAAAATGTAATAAGAAGAGTGGTGCGGGGTAAAAAGAGGTACATGGAGAGAGTTACCTTCACATATTGGAGGCTCTGGATACCATCCAAAGTCGTAACACTGAATTAAATCAGATCCTTTCACAGAGTAATTTTTCTGACACAAAAACTGAACCACGTCTCCTTCTTCATAGCTTTTCTTCATGGGATGGAAATTCCCATGTTCTATCTTGCTTAACAAGGAGCATGTTACTTCTAGAAAGAACACACACATGGTGTAAAACAGATTTGTACTCACCTTTTGTAACTGCTGTTCTTCAAGATGTGGTGTTCATATCTATTCCAATTAGTTGTGTGCACACCACATGCACAACTGTCAGAAAGTTTTATCCTAGCAACTACCCTAGGGAGCCTCTTGGAATGGTGCCAGTGTAGCACTTTAAATATGACTTTGCCAACCTGACCACCCCTCGGTTCCTTCTTGCCGCCTACTCCGAGAGCGGGGAAGGAGGGTGGGTAAATATGAGCAACACATCTCAAAGAACAACATTCACAAAAGGTGAGTAACTGTTTTGTTCTTTGAATACTTGTTCATACGTACTCCAATTAGGTGGTTCACAAGCCTTACCCAGGAGGAGGGGGCCCAGTCAACAAGTTGCCGGCTGAAGCACCACTGTGCCAAACTCCACATCCTGTCTGGATTGATGCACAATGGTGTAGCACGACATGAAGGTATGGACAAAAGGCCAAGTCACAGCTGTGTAGATCTCCTGGAGAGGAACATGAACCAGGAAAGCAGCCAAAGATGCCTGCTCCCACAGGGAGTGCACCATGAAAGGTAGCGGGGGAATCTTGGCCAAGTCATAAGTCCAAATACATGCCATGATCCAGGAAGAGATACGCTGCACTGATACAGGCATCCCCGTCATGTGATCTGCCACTACCACAAACAGTCATGGCGACCTATGGTCAGGGTTTGGAAAGGTCAGTGTAGAAGGCGAGGGCCCTTCTGACATCAAGAGAACATAGCCTTTGTGCCCTTGAGTCTTTGTGTAGCTTCAGTTAAAAACTGGCAGGAAAATACCATGACTGGTAAGAAAGGCCGGGATCACTGTCAGAAAAAACAGTGTATGGAAGACCAGACATTAAGAGCCCAAAGCTTAGAGACTTGCCGGGCTGAAGTGATGGTTACCAGAAAAGCCACTTTTTATGAGAGGTACAGGAGGGAGCATGTGGCTAACAGCTTGAAAGGGGGTTCCATAAGTGTGGAGAGGGCTAGGTTGAAATCCTAAGTTGGACAGGATGCTTAGCCAGTGAGTGGAGTCTGTCTAATAACCTTGAGGAATCAGGGAGCTCATGAAAACTGAGCGACCTGCGTCACCTGGATAGAACACCGATATGGCCACCATATGTAGCTTAAGCGACAAGGTTACTAGGCCTTGCTGTTTAAAGGGAGATGAGTATTCAAGCACCCGAGGGATGGAAGCAGACATGGAACCTACACCGCACTGGAAGCGCCAAATGGTGCAGAGGCTCACAGTGCCACGTGGGTATTGGTGCCGGGGGTCTGGGATCTTGCAGAGAATCCAGATCCTGCCCAGGAGCAGCTGTCTGGAGAAACCCTTGAATGGGAGCGGCTCCAATAAGGCCAACCACGGAACCGTCACCATGAATCAGACTGGCACTGCATGCTGGGACTCTGAGCAGCAGGGCCCAGCATCTGATGCAGGCAGACCCATCATGGCCTGCTTCCCCTTAGATGGCTGATAGGGAACGGTCAGTGGCCTGTCCTGGATGACAGGGGACTTTGGTGTTGTGCTTTCTATTAGGCCCCATGCCAGCTCAAAGGTGTCCACCATGAAGGAGTCTGATCTCCACTGACTCTAGTCTCAGATTTTCCAGCAGGTTGGGGCTCAGCTTCCAAGATGTACATAGCATTGGAGGGCCAGGTGGTGCAGTTGGAGATGAAAAGGGCATCAGTGCCATTATTCATTTCACCCTAGAAGGCTTCACCGGGGAATGGCACCAACGCTGGGATGCCAATGGCTTTAATGAACAACAGTGCCAGAGTTGACATGCTGAGTCAGCCTTCTGCACCATCTCCGTGACCGACAGCAGTGCGCTACACACCAATGCACTCAGTGCCATGCCTTTGCAGGTGAACTCCATGAGGAGCTGCTTTAGGTGAAAGTCCCGCTCCTTTCTTGTTTGAAGGCCTTGCAAAATCTACACCAGTCCACCTAGTAGGCCTCTCCCAGTCAGTGAAATCCCAAGACATGGGGGATGCTCGTAGGCATAGGCTTCACACAGAAACTGCAGGGCTTGAAGCCTTGTGACGTGGGCATGACCTCAGGTCCATGAAAGGACACGGGCAGGAAGGGGAATCCCCTCCACAACCACTACAACAAACAATAGACTAATTAGCTAACTAGCTAAGAAAAACAGAAAGAAGTCAACAAGCTAGAGAGACACATGGATTACCGGGAAGACAAGAGAGCCACAATTCCAACAACCGTCATCGGTGGTAAGAAGGAACTGAGGGCTAGTTAGGCCAGTAAGGTCACAGATTGAGTGCTGCATCTATGCCATTCCAGGGGGCTCCACGGCTGACCTAACAAGTAGTCACTAGGGTACAATGTTCTAACGGCTGTGCACACAGTGCGTACACGCCTCATTTGAAATGATACGAGCAAGCACTAAAAGAATACCAGACTTTTGAAGATGCGGGCTGAATCAATTTAAAGACTACATACTACTGCAGTTCGGGGTGAGGGACCATCCAAATGTCCGACAGACTGCCTCTTCAGAAGTATTTCCTCCTGTGGTGTGGTATCCCTCGTCACATTCGTATATCAGTGTTTCATTCAGTTTGAGGATTCGCTGGGTAGTTGAGTAGCGGCCATGATGCAAGTCTGGTACTAAACAGCTCTCTTAAAAAAAAAAAAAAAAAAAAAAAAGTACATTCATTTTGGAGTTTGTTTCACTTAAAGTTACATGACATTGTAGGACTTTTCTCTTTGTTTTAGTAGACTATTCAAATTTAGCACAAAGCTTTGCAATTAATTTGTAAATAGCAATAAACTCCAGTTATTCAAGTTCTTTGATCTATAATACCAACATTCACATGCAGCAGTAAGTGTACTACGTGTGACAACAAGATTTAGATTACGCTAGAGGGGTAGTCATAAAAATGTTGCACTGTTCAAAATGGAAATAGCAATAGAAGTGGGACCTTCCCTGTATCAGAGAGAATCAAGGCCCAAAGAGTTCTCTTCAGGCACATCTTCTGTTACTATAGCGGAGGGCAGCCAGCCATGGACCAGAAAAAATATTCTGAACTATAAATACCACTCCATAGATATACCTCACAAATTCACCATTAGGAAGAAAGCAAGGAGCTGGCACCTAACTTATAATGTAAACGTGTGGCAATGTGACCTCATCACTTATTGTCATTCAGTGCTATGGTATTTGTACAATAGCTCCCTTTCTGACGTTAATATCCCAACAGTGGAATGACACAGCAGCATTCAACGTAAAACAGTATTTATCCTGTAAGGTTTCAGTCATTTAAGCAATGATCTACCTGACTGGCCCATGAGTCTATATTCATGACCTTTACATGCAGGCTTAACTTTATGCATGTGAAGTGAGCAGCTCCAATGGGTGTAAATTGACATAACTCCATTCACTTCCAGCCAGCTGACATTTTGCCCCTGAGAGTTTAAAGCTGCCCTGACAGACAGAAACTAGCTTTAAGGGTATCAAAGCAGCAAAAATACAAAGAAAGTCAGTTAAAGAGGAATGTAAATTCATACCAAACTTTTTAGCGCAGCTTGGATGAGAAGACCATCCTTCTGGAAGGCAGTACACTAATTCTTCAGTATTACCTCCTGGAGTTTGATAACCAGAAGCGCATCTGTATTGCAATTGTTCCTGTATTTTGTAGGACACTTTTGTATCTAAGAAGATGCCATTTTCCAACAGGGGTTTGCTGCATTTTTCTACATGGAAATAAGTAGCTTGATTAGAAGGAGGCCACAGAGTATCATGCTTCTCTCTATAACTTTATATTACATGGGTATTGTCTGCTTCCTGGTCCCTGTATCCCTTTGCCTACAGTGCGGGGCTGAAAAACTCAGAAATCGGTCCATTTGCTTACCTTCCTGACATAGTAATAACAACCCAAACTCAAATAGGTATTTTAACTGTTGACAACAGGAAGATATTGAAAGTCACCTAGTTTGGTCACTATGGACAGTGGTGGGGTTCTTGCCAGACTTAACTACTTGCCTTATTCCCTTCCACATCACTATTGAAGCTGCAGTTCACACCACGAGTTCTGGAGTGATGGAGGCAGTCTTGAGCACTGGAGAAATTACCCAACTTTCAGGCTGTACGACTCTCCCTCAGTGGGTAGAATAGGAGGACTGGCAAATACACTGTGAAAGTTCTCCCCACACAACAATTAAAGATCACAGGCAAGAGAACAGATGGCCATGAGCAGGTCATAAGCAGCAGATAGTCTTCACAAAGGGAGCAAGAGAATTAATGGGGAGTTTGGTGGCTTCACTGTCTCCTGGCCAAATGTGCCCTCTATTTCTTTTTAATTTTATTTTAAGAGGCACAGATGTTCTCCTCATTCCCCTGTAACTCCAGAACTTGATGTTACTGCATGTATTGCTGGAACCTGATGTTACTGCAGTCAGCTATTGCATGTGCCTGGCCTCTGAAAACCAAATACCACATACCAGAAATCATCTTAGGGGCAAGGCCAAACAGCTGCATTTTTTTGCAGTTTCTGCTAATCAAAATGGAAGGATAGGACAGTAAGTTAATATACCATCAGAATCAAAGGACAGTTAACTTTAGTTTTAAGCACCCTGGCATATAAATAATATTGTTGTTATAACTAGCGATATTAGGAATGGTTTGATAACTAGGAGCATGGTGAGACCCACAAGTCACTATAAGTCATGTGCTTTTTTTTAAGTTAGCTATAAGAGATCAGGCAAGAGGATGCAATCTGGAACACTCCAAAGAAGCTTTTCTCTGGGCAAGGAGCTGGCACCTAAACTCCCCAACAGCTGAATGGAACAAGTGTTTCTGGTAGTCTAGTTGTTGATTACCAAACTCTCTCAGACTTTGGGTAAATATAAATGGCTAATAAGCTCTGAATCTAGTACTACTGTGTGTGTGTGCGCGCACTTGAGACCTAATAAGAAAATGTAACTTCAAGTAAAAGCACTCATGTTTGTACTGATCACTCTCAGACAGAGGAACTTTGTCCCCCTTGATATATTCCTGGCACCACCTGAAGGGAAACAGTTGTTACCACAGCTCTGAGTTTTAAAAACCCTGGCTAATTCTCTAAAAAATATTTGGGCTGCTATCACTGTCTGAGGGAGCAGCCCACCAGTCACCTGCTGGCAACTCCTGCCAAAGTGTAGCTTTTACTTTGTTTAATCTTTGCTGATGAGCCAGAACCATTCTGAAGGGGGGGGGGGGGGGAGGGGGCGCTTCCAGCTCCAAGAGGAAAAGTTATTTGAGATGAGAAGAAGCAAGGGGAAGTAAAAATCTGTCTGAAACTAGTCATTTACTCATTATGGAGGATGGTAAGGCAGTCTAGTCCCACTTGAATAAAACCAGTAAGGAAAACACAAAAGCTGAAAATATAAAATAATTAGGGATGTTCTGATCAGAAGAACAAGTACAGTGAGGTCAGACCAAAGGTTCAGCCAGCTCAGTATTCTGACTTCCAACAATGGCTAATGCCAGGTGCTTCAGAAGGTATTCAGAACAGGGAATCATCAAATGATCCACCCTGTTCCCCATTCCCAGCTTCTGGTAAACAACATCTCTGCCCATCATGGCTAACAGTTCACACAGAACCCAACCTCCCTTTATTTATCTGACTTTACAAAATGACATTACTGCCTTTGGTACTGATTTTCAAAGACAGATGAAAAGTGTTGATTTTCACTTCTGCTTCCTAATTTTTCCCTAATTTATGGTCTCGTTACTACTCCCTCATTACTACTCATTACTACACCCATTGATTTATGGGTGAAATCAATTAAAATTTCCACAAGAAATAAAAAATGCCACTGAAATTGACTTACTGTAACAGTTGGGTGCTGGTGACCATCCTCCTTCTGTGCATGTTATTCTTCCATCTTGACTTCCAGATTCAGTTGTATAGCCCGCCAGGCAGCTGTAGTAAAGCTTTTTTTCTTTACTCATTGGAAAATAGTAACTTTTAAAACTATAATAATACTGGGCTATCTTCCCATTTTCTATGAGTGGCAAATCACAAGGCTTATCTAAAAAAGATTTAAATTATGTTTTGTTCATTATAAATTTCCCCATGCATGTAACTGCTTTCTGGATGAATTTAAACTTAACTGCCTTGGCTGAATTCTGTACAGATACCTAGGGTTCAGACACAAGGCCCCATTCTGCAATCACTTACCCTTTGAACTTATACTTCACTTACCAAGTAGTTAGCAATTACACAGGTTAAACCTCATAAATCCAGGACTCATCTGAAGGACCACGGATGTTTCTGGACCAGAAAGCCCGATATTGAAATGTGAGTCAGCTGGGAGTCCGGTGGCGGGGGCCAGAGACCTCGTACCCAAGGGGGGGGCCAGCAGCTGGTAAGCCCCATCCCTGAAAAGCCCCGGCCAGGTGGAGCAATGGCAGAGGGGGGGTGGGGCGCAGCAACAGTGGGGCCATAGACAATTGGTGAGACACATCCCAGGGTGCCCTGGCTGGGCGGGGCAGAAGCGGGGCCATGACGGCTAGGGAGCTCTAGGGAAGCACCAGCCAGACCGCAGTTCCTGAGACGAAGCCAGGAAGTAATGGAGCTGCCGCCCAGTGGCAGTGGGGCTGGAGCAGAGCCAGCCACAAAGAAGGGGCAGCGAGCTGGGATGCCGGTGGCAGGGGACCTCCACTGATCCAGCAAATTCCCTCATTCTGGATGGATCAGGTGTTGGACCAGAGAGCTCCAACCTGTACTAAAAACCAAGACTTTTTTCCACTGTCCCATACTACAAGGATATGGGCATATGCAGTAAAACTAAATGGTAATATATTTACAAAAGTGATGTCAAACTTACATCCTAAGGGATGGCTTCAGGCCACTTGATCTATTAATTGCCTGCTAGACATATTCAGACGGTCTAGAACTTTTTTCCCCTAAAAGAGTTTCTAGGCCTCATGGGTGTAAAGAAAAGCTTCTAAACATGCACTGAGCATAACTGATACAGTGGGTGTGTCTAGACTACAGGGTTTTTTTGAAAAAACTTCCCCTGCGTCTAGACTGCTGCCGCGTTCTTTCGAAAGTAAATTGAAAGAACGCAGCAGTTTTTTCAACCGCAGTAAACCTTATTTTATGAAGAATGACGCCTTTTTTCGAAAGTGCCCTTGAATGCAAACAGAGCTTTTTCGAAAGAGAGCACCCAGACTGCCTAGGTGCTCTCTTTCGAAAAAGCAGCTTGCTTTTTCAAAAGAAGTGGTTGCAGTCTAGATGCTCTCGTTCGAAAGAGGCTTGTAGTCTATACGTAGCCAGTGACATCTGCTCAAATCTGCAGTCAGCCTGAAAAATGACTGGGAAAATGACCCCTGAAGTGTTAGCGCTAAAATCGAACAACATTTCCATATTTCGGTGTCAACATTAGCTATTTGATTGCTGATCATTTTAGCAGATGAAATGCAGAAGATAGAGCAATGAGGCCACAGCAATGTGGGAAAGGAAGGCTGGGAAGGAATGCACAGAGAAGAATGGAAGAGAAAAATGAGGCTGGGGGAAAAAAGTGAAAAGAGAGGGCTGGAACAGCTGTGGCTGTAAAAGAGAGCATGTTTTCCCACTGAACAGTGTTGAATGTCACATGGTAGTGAAAAAAAAAAACCTTAAATAAATCTTAAGTATTTAGATACTATTCTTTAGGCCAGATACTGCCGAGGCTCTGTAAGTTATATCTTTGCTCATGGGCTATGGCTTAAGATGGGATGTGGTTCTCTGCCTCAAGGGAATTGGCACCCCTGCATTTTTTTTTGTTAGAAGAAAGGAAAGTAGCTGCTTCTTCCTAGTAACCATTATTGACATCATCAGGCGTGATCCATGGCTTACTGGATTAACATATTGCTCTATTAAACTAACTTGAAATCCCTGCATTCCTGATCCTTTGAACAAGTGTAAAAAGAGAAAGGAGGCATCTTAGTTCAAGACTGTCCTACCTAGAGAGCAGTCTGTAATCTGGTCTGCACTCTGGAAGCTACATGGCAGGAATTTATAGACCGATAGCCAGTAATTTCTTCATAGCAGAAAAGCTAAAGCTATAGACAGAGCAGATGGATTTAGTTAGAAGTGACCCAGCCTGAAATAAATACATGATAAAAAATAAAATATAATAATAGTAAAAAGGTAAAAGACAGGATAGCAGTGAGTTGCTATGGTATCTAGTGATGGTAATAGTTCTAAAAAAATCGTGGTTTCTAGAGAACAGGGATTAAGGGAGCAGTATCCCATTCTGTAGACCAGAAACAAGAGGCCCAGAGCTGTATCTTAGGTTATTAGTTGTAGACTAGCATTTTATTCCCTACTTCCATTTTACCTTAAGTCAGTGTACCTTCAGCAATGCAATTCACATGATTTGTCTACAAATAAAATGGAACTAAAGCCTGTCTAGGACATGGTTCCAGAAATAACAAAATGGGATGATCATCTGTCAGTATCTGAACCATTGTCCAGGGTTGTTATACCTGTGTCCTTTTCAAGGTTCAACATAGCAACAGTTAATTCTTCAATAACAAGTGTTCAGTCAAGAATATTAGAAATACAAATACCACAAGCAAAAATGTATCTCCATTAAGAATCAAACTATCAAATTAAAGTAACTGCATGCAGCATTTTTCTGAGAGCGATGTATAAATGATATGATCTAGAATATCATATTCTTTTATAAATAGAAGAATGCCTTAGTACTTTTACCTTCTGTAAAAGTTTCTCCTGAATCAACCAACATCATGAGAAAAATCCAGCTTTTAAATCCCATATTTAGTACTGTCCCTAACAGTAGATTTCACCATTCTGTGAACACTAGTGGTTAACTCAATATCACTTTTGAAAAATCAGTTAATTATTTACAAAAGGTATTTGGAACGTGCTTTGTAACACACACGTATTTCACTTACTGATTTTTAATCTTTAAATGGAAAACACTATACCCAAATAGCTCTATTTCAATTAAGAAGCTCCTTAATAGAGAGGCATAATGAAAAAAATACTAACAATGGCAGATGCCTTCACTATAAAATAATGAATGTTGGCAAATTGTAAAATAGATTAACCAGAAACTAATGGTCTTAAATTCTAGGAACTTTCAGGCCATGTGGCTTAAAGGCCATTTTGTTGTCATTGCTTTATTGACTTTGATTGAAATCTTGTCTGGTTTTCTCTTCTGTTTCCATCTGTAACTGGCTGCATTTATTTGTACTGCAAGTTGCTAAGTCCAAAGAGAAAACTGCCCTTGTCATTGTCTGCTATACAAAAGTACCCACTAAAAATCTTTGCTGGATTCAGACTGTTTTATGAATTCCCCCACAATAACGGATAGGACAAACCCATCTTTGGTCTTACAAGTTCCAGCTAAAGGCATATTCATATTCCAACTTACTGCACATTCTCTGACAACAGTGTTGGAAAAACCTGTCGCCCATCAGGGTTCTATGTGTGGCCCACGAGTTGTTTTGTTTGCTGTTGACCATGCGCAGGGGTTGCCAGATTCCACAGGTTTCTGTCAGTGTCGTTTTTTCCTACCGGTCTTACTAAAGTGACATGCATATAAAGCATGGGTGGGCAATAATTTTGAAATGGTCACAGGCTGACCGAGAAGGAGCAGGGCGTTGGGCAGCAGGGGTTGGATTGAAAACTACCCTGCTGGGTATGTTGACCTTATTTTCTGAACCAGCCGCAGCTAGCAAGAACGATTTGATTTATATTATGAAACAGATTAAGCATTTTAACTCTCTCATGTTCTGTTATTAAATTTCATTTTAAATAAAGTAAAATATTATGTCCAACACAAAAGGTTTCAATGTTTTCTTTATTTATGGCAGGGGAACTCTTTTTGGGAAAAAAAAAAAAAAAAAAAAAAAAAAAAAAATCAGATCAGAAGCTGGTGCCAGACAAAGAGCCACTTCCCTGAGGATGATCTTCAAATGGGACTCCCTTTTCCATTTGGCACACGGCTTGAAGCCCCTGCAGATCTTGTACCACTCGGACAGATGGGGTTCTCCAAGGCACTTGAGGCATAGGGATATTAAGTACCGATTAATTTGCTAATCAAGTATCATTGAGGAAAGGCAGTTGAAGCACTTGCTTCCAGCTCATGCTGGGACTCAGCACAACTCCCGGCTGCTGCTCTTTGCTCTTAAAGAGGATGCTGGCTCACTCTCTGGTCCCCCACAGGAGCTCAGGACCTTTCCGGCCTCCCCCGTGCTGCCACTCTGCATTCTGAAAGAGATTGAGCAGCCAGTGCCGCGGGTCTTAACCCAAGCCCCCTCCCCACTTCCTTGTGCATTATTAAGGACAGGGGAGCCGGCAGCAAGCGCACGCTGGTTCAGTGTGTTGGACCCACACGCTGCAAATGCTGCAGACCAGAGCCCTGCGGAATAAGGCAAACCTTTCTTGGTTTCACTACATTTCACAAAGAAAGTCACAGTAGGCTTACTAGGTAACCTTCCCCTGCCCTCCAGCCAAGTGGGCAGAAATTGAGGTGGACTATCCATTACCTGCTGCCTTAGCACAGCTGCCGCTCTCACTTCCAGGCTCTCCCAGCCCCCCGCCAGCCCAATGGGGGCTGCCTGGAATGGGATGCTCCTCTGCCGGTATAGCAGAAGGGATGTCCCTTGGCTGCTAGGCTGGGATGCTACAGGTGGGCAACCAGGACTGAGCCAGCATCTTTGCATACAGGTGCTCCTGTCCTTAATAATGCAGGGGGAGGCTTGTGCTGAGACTGGCTGCCCTGTCCCTTTAAAAAGGCAGAGTGGCAGCAGGGAAGAGAGGGGGGCTTGTGCTGAGACCAGCAGGACCAGCTGCTCTGTCCCTTTCAGAATGTAGAGTGACAGCGTGGGGGAGGGTTGTCCCGAGACCCTGCGTGGGACCAGAGATTGAGCCAGCATCTTTGCATGCCGGCTCTGCTGTCCCTTTAAGAGTGTAGAGCAGCAGAGAGCGTGATCGAGTAATCAACAGTGCTACCAGATAAGCTCCTGCTTATCAGGTAGTAGACTACTCAAATACTTTGATCTGAGGAAGTGGGTCTGGCCCAGGAAAGCTCATCATCTAATAAACCATCTTGTTAGTCTTTAAAGTGCTACATTGTCCTGCATTTTGCTTCAACTACCCCAGACTAACACGGCTACATTTCTATCACTACTCAAATACTGGTTCACATCCTTGGGGGGGTGGGAGGGAAGAGTCCTGCGCTGAAGTTAACTACTAACACTTTGTTCTTATCTTTTTGTAAATAGTAATCAACTAGAAAACCACTAACACTACAAGAACAGGTGAGAACTGCTAAGAGACACTTGCAAAGCAAGAGCAAAGAATGGTCCAATGAGCATCACGAGTGGTAAGAAGGAATTCAGGGGGTGGAGGACCAACAGGGGTTATAGCAGCACCACTCCAAGGAGCTCCCTGGGGTGCATCTGCACAGGAGGGCTTAACTTGAAATAAGCTACACAACTTGAGATAGGTCAATTGCATAGCTTATTTCGAAATTGGAAGTGTCTACACAGCACTTGTTTTGAAATAGAGCACCCGTCCTCTGACTTCCCTTACTCCTCGTACAATGAGGGTTACAGGAGTGGGAGTAAGAAGTCCTCCAGCTTGACAGTATTTTGACATTATTTTGAAATAACTGCCGTCTATGTAGACGTGGACTAAGTTATTTCGAAATAACGCTAGTTATTTCAAAATAACGTTGCTGTGTAGATGTACTCGTGACGGCCCAATGGTTACTGCTAAGGGTAACATTTTTGACAAAGCATGCACGCACACCTACATGGAATGGACGTGAGCAATCCCTTGAACATGGAGATACTCATGGTCAGGGCTTGCCAAACCATGGCAAGCCCTGCTCGCCAGCTGCGCTGCCCAGCAATCTGTACATGCGCAGATCGCCCAAACCCGGTTCTTCCAGGTTACAATCTACTTGCCACAGGCAAGTAGATTGTATTATTTGTCGAGCCCTGCTCATGGTCCTTGGCAGGCACAAAGGATTTCCACTCTGTCCTCTTGGATATAGGTGGAATGGAAGGAGTCTGCCATAGAGCCTTGGCAATCTTGGCTATTTTATCATGCAGCAGCAAAGCCCCCTGCCTGGCCCAGTACCCCAAAGAGGGAATCTGAGATGTCTTGCACCTCTTCCACCTGGAAGTCCAGGTTAGTAGCAAGCCTTTTAAAAAGATCCTGATGGGCCTTCATGTCATCAGGCAGGACCATGGTTGGAGGTTCCATTATTGCCTCATCTGGTGACAAGAAAGACGAAGCTTGGCACAACTGGCCCTTTTGCCTCAGTGAGCATGCACATGGCTAGCTGAGGGCACCAAAAGAACCTTCAACACGCCAACCAATGGGCAGGTAACCTAGGGCTGCACGAGGAAGCCCCAGGGAATCCATGAGCCTCCAGAGAGGGTGACCTCGACCCTTCCGAGTCAACCAACGACGGAGGGGAGGTCGTGAGGCTAATAAGGTCCTGCGCTGCTTCAGACATGTCCAGCGTGGATGGGCGGTGTGAAGGTAGGCGACCAGGACTATCGAGGCCTCCTCGGCACCGGCGGTGCGCCGCAGGAGATGTTTGCACCGGTGAGCCCGCGCCGCGGTGCCCGATCAAAGTTGACTTCTTTGAAGGGGACCTTCCACGGGACTTCTTCGCCCTCTTGGACGGAGGAGAGTGAGACCGGTGCTGAGACCTCGACACCAATGCACGGTGCCGGTGTGGAGCCTCGTGTGTAGAAGCCGGTGCACTGCGAACCGTAGGTTGCTCTGGTGGCACCGGTTGAAGTGCTGTCTCCATGAGGAGAAGCTTCAGGCGGGAAACCCTTTCTTTTCTCGTGCGGGGCTTAAAGGACTTACAGATCTTACAGGCAATTGCCAGATGAGCCTCGCTCAAACACTTAAGGCAACTGTCGTGTGGGTCGCCCCTGGGCATAAACTTCCCGCAGTCAGCGCACATCTTGAAGCCTTGTGGCCCTGGCATTCCTTACCCCCGAGGGGGAAGGAACAAAACAAACAAAAGAACAGTTACTTACTTGTAACTGTTGTTCTTCGAAATGTGTTGCCCATGTCCATTCGAAGTAGGTGTGCGCGCCGCATGCGCCACGTCTTCCGGAGCGTTTTCCCTAGCGGTACCCGTAGCGCCGGCAGGGTGCCCCCTGGAGTGGCGCCGCCATGGCGGGGCATAAGTACTCCTGCCGGCACTGCCCCACCTCAGTTCCTTGCTGGATACTCTGACGAAGGGGAGGTAGGGTGGGAGTTGAATGGACATGAGCAACACATCTCAAAGAACAGTTACAGGTAGGTAACCGTTCTTTTCTTCTTCAAGTGGTTGCTCATGTCCATTCGAAATAGGTGACTACCAAGCTAACCCCAAGGAGGAGGGGTCGGAACAGTCATAGCACCAGAGTCATAAAGGAAGGTGAACAATAACAGATTTATTTGAACAAATAAACAGTGACAAGTCACGAACCCAGAACAAAGACAACCAGATCTATATATTTACATATTTACATCACAGATTCGAGGACTGCAGAGCCCACCCTTGCATCCTCCCTGGCCTGTTGAGGTAGCGCATAATGCGTTGCAAACGTGTGGAGGGAAGACCAGGTGGCTGCCCTGCAAATTTCTGTGATAGGTACTTGGGCACCAAAGGCTACCGAGGACGCCTGCGCCCTGGTAGAGTGTGCCTTCACCCTGGGTGGGGTTTT